GCCCTCACCCTTCTGTGGACACACACTCATCTGAACAGCCTTACACAGCGCCAACACAGCCTTGGGCAGCGGGTGACTGAGGGACACACACACAGAGACAGGTGTTAGACTTAAACACACACACACACACACACACACTCTCTGTACGTGGCAGTCTGACACTCACTCCAGTGTGTGCAGTGCTCTGGGCATTCGCTCTGCCTCCGCCAGCAGTGAGCGCACAGACGCATCATCACCCTGCAGCCAATGAACAGCAGCCGTCAGCACCGACGCCCACCAGCGGCACACTGGGTCCCGCACTGCAGACACACACACACACACGTTAGCACGCACACACACATAAGTATACACCACAAACATGATAAACACACTCACCTGACGTTGAGCTTTGATTGGCCAGCGCAGGGAAGGGGGCGGTGGAGGGGGCGGAGTCTTCAGTACAGCTGTTCAACAGCTGCAGAAACTCCAGAACCCCAGTGAACTCCCTGCAGAGATGCATGATGGGAAACAGCAGACATTAACATCTACTGTCATCACACACAGCACAATCACAGAGCTCACTATACATCAGCGGGAGGAGGGGATCAAAGGGAGGGGATCCTTCAAAGGGAGGAGCTGATGAAGAGGAGGGGCTACTGATGATTAAGAGGAGCGGTTAAATATGAAGGGGAGGAGCTGATGATGAAGAGGAGGGGTTACTGATCATTAAGAGAAAGGGTTAAATATGAAGGGGAGGAGCTGATGATGAAGAGGAGGGGCTACTGATGATTAAGAGGAGGGGTTAAATATGAAGGGGAGAAGCTGATGATGAAGAGGAGGGGCTACTGATGATTAGGAGGAGGGGTTAAATATGAAGGGGAGGATCTGATGATGAAGGGGAGGGGCTACTGATGAAAGGGAGGAGCTGATGAAGAGGAGGGGCGAGTGATGATTAAGAGGAGGGGTTAAATATGAAGGGGAGGATCTGATGATGAAGGGGAGGGGCTACTGATGAAAGGGAGGAGCTGATAAAGTGGAGGGGCTAGTGATGATTAAGACGAGGGGTTAAATATGAAGGGGAGGATCTGATGATGAAGGGGAGGAGCTGATGATAAAGAGGAGGGGCTACTGATCATTAAGAGGAGGGGTAAAATATGAAGGGGAGGATCTGATGATGAAGAGGAGGAGCTACTGATGATTAAGAGGAGGGGTTAGATATAAAGGGGAGGAGCTGATGATGAAGAGGAGGGGCTACTGATGATTAAGAGGAGGGGTTAAATATGAAGGGGAGGAGCTGATGATGAAGAAGAGGGGCTACTGATGATTAAGAGGAGGGGTTAAATATGAAGGGGAGGATCTGATGATGAAGGGTAGGAGTTGATGATAAAGAGAAGGGGCTACTGATGATTAAGAGGTGGGGTTAAATATGAAGGGGAGGATCTGATGATGAAGTGGAGGGGCTACTAATGATTAAGAGGTGGGGTTAAATATGAAGGGGAGGATCTGATGATGAAGGGGAGGGGCTACTGATGAAAGGGAGGAGCTGATGAAGAGGAGGGGCTACTGATGATTAAGAGGAGGGGTTAAATATGAAGGGGAGGATCTGATGATAAAGGGGAGGAGGTGATAATAAAGAGGAGGGGCTACTGATCATTAAGAGGAGGGGTTAAATATGAAGGGGAGGAGCTGATGATGAAGAGGAGGGGCTACTGATGATTAAGAGGAGGGGTTAAATATGAAGGGGAGGAGCTGATGATGAAGAGGAGGGGCTACTAATGATTAAGAGGAGGGGTTAAATATGAAGGGGAGGATCTGATGATGAAGGGGAGGAGCTGAGGATAAACAGGAGGGGCTACTGATGATTAAGAGGGGTTAAATATGAAGGGGAGGATGTGATGATAAAGGGGAGGGGTTACTGGTTAAGGGGAGGGGCTGATGATTAAGAGGAGGGGCTGATGATGAAGAGGAGAGCAACTGATGAAGGGGAGGAGCTGATGATAAAGGGGAGGATCTGGTGATGAAGGGGAGAAGCTAATGATGAAGGGGAGGAGCTGGTGATTAAGCGGAGAAGCTGCTAATGAATAGGAGGAGCTGATGATAAAGAGGAGGAGCTGGTGATAAAGAGGACAAGCTACTGATAAAGGGGAGGGGGCTGGTGATGAAGGGGAGAGCTGGTGATGAAGGGGAGGAGCTGATGATGAAGGGGAGGAGCTGATGATAAAGGGGAGGAGTTACTGATAAAGGGGAGGGGGCTGGTGATGAAGGGGAGAACTGGTGATGAAGGGGAGGAGCTGATGATGAAGGGGAGGATTTGATGATGAAGGGGAGGAGCTGATGATAAAGGGGAGGAGTTACTGATAAAGGGGAGGGGGCTGGTGATGAGGGAAGCAGCTACTGATGAAGGAGACGATCTACTGATGGAGACCTAATAAAGGGGAGGACCTACTAATGAAGGGGAGGGGTTTCATGATGAAGGGGATAAAGGGCTACTGATGAAGGGGAGGGGGCTGATGATGAAGGGGAGGGGCTAATATGTAAGTGATTATGCTGCCTTGCAATGGCAGTACTCATTATAGATACTACTGGGTAGTGTAATCATTTATTTGTCTAATTTGTAAACCATGGCCTGGGAAACTGCATTTGAATGTGTGTTTACAATAACCTAGTGCTCCATTTGGGACGACACTAAACTCTACACTACACGCTTGAGTGCATAGTGTGAACCATATAGTCATGTAGTAATATGTAAAAGATATAGTACAATGTGTAAGGTTTTGTTTTAACCCAGCAGTATTATTACTAATGGCTATTACTGAGTGTTAGGCTTCAGTACGGCTCAGCCTGTATGGCCCCCAGTAATACTTGAGTCATACACATGTGTCCGTTTCTCTACAGGGCTAGAAATCATCCAGATGAGTGTGTGAGTGTGAATGATTACCCAGCATCCTCTCTGCTCTGCGGCTCTATCAGTGTGTGCGTGGCTCTCTCCAGCAGTTTCTGGCAGAAGCAGCGGTGCAGCTGAGCGATGGGGTCCACTGGACACACAAACACAGCTCAGGATCAGAGGTCACACAGAGGTCAGAGGTCAAACAGAGGTCAGTCTCAGGGGTCAGACAGAGGTCAAACAGAGGTCAGTCCGCCTGTTACCTTTATCTCTCGCAGAGGTGAAGATCTGCCCGTCGCTCTCTGACCGCACCGACCAATCACAGCTCAGGAAGAACTGACGGCCCAATGGGGTGAAGATCCAGCGCAGGCAGTCTGGGAGGGGCTTAGAGTCCGATTGACAGGTCAGAGCCTCGGCACAGCTCAGCAGATACGCCTAACGGAGAGACAGAGCAGGTTATTGATCATCATGATTGATGGTCGTCCTCGATTGGTGGCTGATGTTGAGGTGTGTGTGTGTGTGACTCACGGGCAGGCAGGTGAGGTGTTTCCCCAGCGCTGCTCTCACACTGATGGCCGCCGTCACGTACACCTGCACCTGCTGAGCGGCCGTCAGCTTCCCCTCCGCACTCTCACACAGATTGACGGCGCTCAGAGACACACACACACCCCACAGCGGACGCCGCTCCATCTGACCTGCACAACACACACACACACAGGGCATCAGTAGTCATGTAGACCACACACACACACGCACGCACGCACTAACACACACACACACACACACACACACACAAACACAAACACACACACACACACACACACACACACACACACACACACACACACACAGGGCATAAGTAGTCATGTAGACCACACACACACACGCACGCACGCATGCACGCACTAACACACACACACACACACACACACACACACACACACACACACCTGTGAGCTGCAGCTGGCTGAGTTTGTGGTACACCAGCGCTGCGTCCCGTGAGCTGGTCTGTGACTCCTCCCCCTCGTGCCTTCCTCCAACCAGACGCACCAGCCAGCCCAGGGGGGCGGGTCTCCGCAGGCAGTAGCGAATCAGGTTCCAGGAGAGAGAGCACATGATGTCCAGAGTGGTGACGGGCAGAACTCTGGATAACACTGACAGACACGTCTGCAGACTGAGCACAGCGCCCGCGTAATCACCCTGAACACACACACACACACTCACAAATCAGTATGTGTGTGTGTATGCCCTGTAGAGCTTCAGGTTGGCTTGTTTGCGATGGGTTGGTGCGTGTATGTATAGTGTGTGTGTGTGTGTGTCTGTGTAGTGTGTGTAGTGTGTGTGTGTGTGTGTGTGTGTGTGTACCCTGTAGAGCTTCAGGCTGGCTTGTTTGCGATAGGTCGATGTGTGTGTGTAAGTGTGTGTGTACCCTGTAGAGCTGCAGGTCTGCTTGTTTCCTGTGTCTCCAGAATCGGACAGATGTCGGTGAGTGAAGGGGCGTGACCGGCTCCCACAGGTACAGCACTCGGACACACCCCCAGACCACGCCCACTCCGCTCACCACCCACACCAGCAGGAAGGGCAGCACACACCACAGCCACGCCCCTGGTGGACACATGACACAGGGTGACCATCAGCATTCACATCACAGTAAACATCACGCAACACAAACACACTCAGCATGACCTCACACACACATCAACCTCAGAGAACTCTGCAGCCGCACCGATGACCTCTGGTACACACTTTCCTTTACTTCAGGCTGCATGACGCTGACACTCACCGAAGCTCTGTGTCTGTGCGGGCAGAGAGAAGAGTGTGCGTGTGGGTCCGTGACCCGCCACCTCAGGAGAGCCCGCCGGAGCCTCAGCGCCCAGCAGAGATGGCAGCGGGTTCAGGGAGAGGCAGAGGAAGGAGAGAGCACACAGCAGCAGACGAGAGCGGTCCATCACACCCACACACGACGGAGAGTCCGGCTCACTCTTCAGCTGAACACACACACACACACACACACACACACACACACACACACACACACACACACACACACACACACACACACACACACACACACACACACACACACACACACAGAGGTGAGAACACGGACACTGCAGTTCATCATCTGGCCACTAGAGGCTCCAAAAAGCAAGCAAATCCTCATAGACTCCCATATCAACGGTACAATGAACTTTAAAGGTCCTCTTCTTATGTGTGTGTGTGTGTGTGTGTATAGTAGTGGTTGTTATGAATAATATATCTGTGCACTTTATTAAAATTCATCAGCCCTCATAATTTATAATCAAATACCAAAACCTTCATATTGATGTTAAATAATCCACCTGGAAACAACTATTCACTTCTAGTCTCATGCAAAATATCAGTCCTTTAGGGCGGGGCTATCAATCCTTTAGGGGAGGGCTATCAATAATCCTTTAGGGCGGGGCTATAAATCTATTAGGTCAGGTCTATCAGTCCTTTAGGGCTGAGCTATTAGCCCTTTAGGGTGGAACTATCAACCCTTTAGGGTGGGCTATAAATCCTTTTGGGCGGGGCTATCAGTCCTTTGGGCCACCCTATCAATCTTTTAGGGCGTGGCTATCAGTCATTTGGGATGGAACTATCAGTTCTTTGAAGCGGGGTTATCAGTTCTTTGGGGCGGAACTATAAGTCCTCTGGGGTGGAACTATCAGTCCTTTGGGCGGTCCTATCAATCTTTTAGGGTGGGGCTATCAGTCCTTTGGGGCAGAACTATAAGTCTTTTGGGGCAGGGCCATCAGTCATTTAAGGCGGAACTATTAGTCCTTAAAGGCGGAACTATCAGTCTTTGGGGGCGGGCCTATAAATCTTTTAGAGCGGGGTTATCAGTTCTTTGGGGCGGAACTATAAGTCTTTTGGGGTGGAGCTTGCAGTCTTTTGGGGCGGATTTATCAGTCCTTTGGGGCGAAACTATAAGTCCTCTGGGGCGGAACTATCAGTCCTTTGGGGCGGAACTATCAGTCCTTTGGGGCGGAACTATCAGTCCTTTGGGGCGGAACTATAAGTCCTCTGGGGCGGAACTATCAGTCCTTTGGGGCGGAACTATAAGTCCTCTGGGGTGGAACTATCAGTCCTTTGGGCGGTCCTATCAATCTTTTAGGGTGGGGCTATCAAGTCTTTGGGGCTGAACTATTAGTCCTTTGGGGCAGAACTATCAGTCCTTTGGGGCGGAGCTATCTGTCCTTTGGGGCAGTCCAATCAATCCTTTGGGGCGGAACTATCAGTCATCTGGGGCAGAACTATCAGTCCTTTGGGGAGGAACTATCAGTCCTTTGGGGTGGTCCCATCATTTTTTTTAGGGTGGGGCTATCAGTCCCTTGGGGTGGAACTATCCATCCTTTAGGGCGGGGCTATCAGTGGTTGTCTTGTTTTCTTGAGTTTGCCCATTCTTCAATCATCCTTCATTTTGTTCATCATCTACACCCATCTTTTACACACTCAATTGGTTCCCAAAGAATAAAAACCAGCTAAGATTTGTTTCTTGTTTCAGGACCATTTCCAGTGGAAGTACTTGACAAGGACAATCTTAACTTCCATTGATGCTCACTTTGAAATGACCAACTTTACAGCAGTACAAAGGCCACAGTGTACTATAAAGTATGGTATTGCAGTATACAGCTAATATTACTCTCCATGATAACTGTGAGGGGATTCTCTTTTTATTCTCCACTGCCTTCAGCTATATTAAAGGGGTGGTCCAGAATGTTATTTTTAAGGCTTGGTTGTGTTAATAAGATGCAAAGCAATGTGTGCTCATGTTTAACTTGAAGGAAATCGTGTTATTTTTTCATAAATCTCACTTTGATTATACACAGCTACTCAGCTAACATGAAAACGACTGTCATATTTCCTAGTTCCTCTAAAAGGCCCACCCTCAAGTGACTCTGATTGGTCATCATCATAATATGCTGTGATACGCCGATCGGCTTCACGTCACGCCCTGACAAGCACGCGCGTTTTGTGTAAACAGTCAGTCAGTCAGTCAGTCAACACGTGTCTGTAACGAGTGAAAATGGGATGCGGCTCCTTTAACTGTTTCTGTGCCTTTTAGTGTGTTTATGCGTGTATACGATGAAGTATTTGTAACACGAGAAGCGCATGTGCGCGGGAGAGATTTTTATTGTTCTTTTTCTCTCATGCTCGGATTAAGTTATTTTCTGTGGTGACAGAATAAAGCACAAGATGTGAGATGAGACCTTTGTGAGCCTGGATTGATTTGTTTTTGATGTTACACTCCAGTTGGGAAATCATTGCTGTATTTTTTTTAAATCAATGCGTTACAGGACGTCTTTCATGCATATGCGGAATATGCCTGTGTAAGTAACATGAATCGTTCACATATCTTTTGCGACTTTATTGTCCGAGTTGTAAAACGCATAGCATAGCTGCCTATAGAGAGAAATTCTGCCGTCTCACACAGAGAGACGCAGGTGCTGGCCAAGAGTGCGTGTATGTGTATGTGTGTGTGTGCGTTTACAGCCGTTTGATAAATATGGATTTGTAACGTTAGCTAAGTCGTTAGCGGTTACCATAATTTCCCGTTGTTTACATCTTTGCTACAACACACCGTTAAAGTTAGACACTGTACATGTCATGATCAATTTTAACAAATAAAAACACTTACAGGTCATGACTCAGAGTTCACAGCGTCTCCTTGCTCCATCTTTGAGGAGATTTTAACTGAATCCAGCACTGAACTGGGAGAGATTCTGGAAGCTGTGTTTTGTCAAATCATGCTTGCTATGTATTTTATAGTTCTCTGGAACATAATTAATATTGAACTGTAAGCACTTCTGTGTTTGGGTCGTGTCATTTGGAAGCCCAACAACAGAAACAGAACAGCTCTGTGGAAACAGCAGGATGGCATTTCTCTCTCTGCAGTAACGTTACAGCGCCTCTGGCCACGGCCTTTACCTGCGCAGTGTGGGATGCGCAATAACGAACTTTTGTGATCTCACAGGGGGCGGAAGTATTTTTTGTAGTCCCCAAAATTCGTTAATTGTAGGCGTTGCTAAGCTAACTCTGTACAAATCAAGGTCTCCCTTTGCATTAAACTTTGAATATTTTACATTCAGAGATGCTGTTTATGTTCACACAGCTACATTACACATCAACTGAAGTTTAAAATATAATATCGTAGTGGACCACCCCTTTAATACTTAAAATACAGCAGAATTAAGCGTGTGGCTACTTGACTGACAGGTATCTGCTGCAATCAGGCATATGTAGCTCCGCCCACACCCCACCCCTTTGCCCAATATGTTGGCCACGCCCACTAGGAGCTTCATTTGTGGGCTTCAGAAAGTTATGGGTGATGTCACAAACACCAAGTCCATATTTGCTCAGTCTATGGTGATGCAGGGCATGTGTGTGTGTGTGTGTGTGTGTGTGTGTGTACCTGCTCATGCTCCAGCAGTGGGCTCCCCGGCTCAGAGTCGATGCAGTAGGGTGAGAGCTGCGCGGGAGAGCTGGAGCCGGAGTCAGACGGAGGAGGAGAGATCAGAGACACCTCAGCCTTCAGCTCCAGATCCACATCTGACACACACGCTGACTCTACACAGAAACACACACGGTCATTAGCACGTTTTGGATGAACTATTCATTTACCACTGTAAATCATTCTTATAAATCATGTGTTATTGTGTAAGGAATACCTGGCAACACACACCACTGAATAATGAAGATAGCGCACAGCTGAGATGGACACGCCCACTTTTGTGTGTAATTATTCAATAGATGTGTTATGATTATTCATTATTGTGCAGTATCTGCTTAGAACACAGCTCCACCAATCAGAGTCAAGAACTGGAGCGCTCTGTTTTACACGCAATCATCAAAACCCAACACACAGAGTTAAAGATGACTATAATGCCTGGTGTGTGTGTGTGTGTGTGTCATGTGACTCACTGTTCTTCTGATTGGCCATCTTCAGTGTCAGGTTCTCCTGCCGCAGCTTATGGTTCACCTGCTGCAGGTATTTGATGTAGTCGATGGCTTTGCGCAGGACACCAGACTTGTGCATCTGTTATTGAACACACACACACACACACACATTACACAGTTTCAGTGGCATCAGTATGGCAGTGTGTGTGTCTGCAACAGCAGGATCTCTAATATAGGACACATGTCATTTATTCCACTGTAGATCAATATCTATATCTCCACATGTGTCCCAGCATGCATTGCGGCGCTGACCTTGGCGTCGTTGCCCAGCACGAGGTCCCGCAGCTCCAGGATCTTGTCGTTGATGGAGGAGCGGTAGCGTTTCTCGATGATGTTGTGCGTGGTTCTCCTCTCGCCCTCCTTCACCACTCCTCCTGGACCCACCACCGGGCTCTGCTCCACGCCCACTCGGGCTCCGCCTATATTGTGGGCGGGGCCTGAAGACAGCTGTTTGATTGGCAGCTTGTCTCCGCCTCCCATCACCACGGGAACGGTGGTCAGGATGTTGCTGCTCATCAGCGTCTGTGTGAGAGAGAGAGGGAGGGAGCGTTGTTGTTATTGGTGATGAATATTAATGAGCAGGGATCTGCATATTGAGTGACGCACCGGCATCTGCAGGGCGGTGGTCTGGATGGGCGTGGTCAGCGTGGTGATGCCCGTGGGGCTCTGGACAGTGGACAGCACCTGTGTGCCGTCTGGTTTGGTGGTCAGAAGCAGAGAGTCCGTCTTCAGGATCTGAGGCTGGTGCACCAACACCTGCAGCCAATCACAGCGCACGAATACTTATATCGAGATACATGAGGATGATGATGATGATGATATTCATTTGTCATGTGTGACTGCAAATACATCATCATCATCATCATCATCATCATCATCATCATGTCAATAACCCATATGCTGATCTGTGTGTGTGTGTGTGTGTGTGTGTGTGTGTGTGTGTGTCGTACAGGCACTTGCTGGGACATGGTGTGTACAGTAGTGGGCGCTGTGGAGAGCGTCTGTATGGTCTGTCCGGCCGGCGTCAGCACGCGCTGGTGCTGGATGGTCATTGGCTGGACCTGCGGAGACGTCATGATACTCTGCATCTGCGGCTGCAGCACTGAGAGACAGAGAGAGACACAGGTGAGAGTGTGTGTGTGTGTGTGTTATGTGCGTAAGTGTGATGAGTGGAAGTGCATGTGTGATGTGTGTATGTGTGTGTGTGATGCGTGACTGCAAAGTTTGTGTGTGTGTGTGTGTGTGATGAGTGTGATGAAAGTGTGTGAGATGTGTCTGTGATGTGTCTGTGTGTGCGTGTGTGACTGAGATTAGTATGTTTGTGTGTGACAAATGTGTGTGAGATGAGTGTGTGCAAGTGTGTGTGTGAGATGTGTGAGTGTGATGAAAGTGTGTGTGTTGTGTGATGAATGTGACCAAAGTGTGTGCGTGTGTGTGTGTGTGTGATGAAAGTGTGTGAGATGTGTCTGTGTGTGTGTGTGTGTGTGTATGTGAGGAATGTGGGTGATGAGTGTGACCAAAGTATGTGTGTGTGTGTTGAGTGTGATGGAAGTGTGTGAGATATGTCTGCGTGTGTGTGACTGAGATTTGTGCATTTGTGTGTGTGTTTGTGTGTGTGTGATGTGTGATGGATGTGTGTGACTAAAGTGTGTGTGTTGAATGTGATCAAAGTGTGTGTGATGTGTCTGTGTGTGTGTGTGTTTGTGTGTGACTGAGATTAGTGTGTGTGTGTGTGTGTGATGCGTGTGTGCGAGTGTGTGTGTGTGAGATGAGGATGAGTGTGTGAGAGATGTGCAAGACTAATTGAGTGTGAGTTTGTGTGTGTGTGTGTGTGTGTGATGAGTGTGATGTAAGTGTGTGTGATGTGTGAGGGATGTGTTTGATGTGTGTGACCAACGTGTGTGTGTGTGTATGTGTGTGTGTGTGTGTGTGTGTGTGTGTGTGTGTGTTGAATGTGATGAAAATGTGTGTGTGATGTGTGTGTAATGTGTCTGTGTGACTGAGATTAGTGCATGTGATGTGTGAGATGAGGATGAGTGTGTGTTTGTGTGTGAGAGATGTGTAAGACTAATTGTGTGTGAGTTTTTGTGTGTGTGTATGTGAGAGAGAGAGAGACGTGCAAGACTGATTGTGTGCGAGTTGAAGGTGTGCGATTAGTGTTTGTGTGTGTGTGTGAGATGAGTATGAGTGTGTGTAAGTGTGATAAAAGTGTGTAAGTGTGTTTGATGTGTCTCTGTTATGTGTGTGTGCGTGTGACTGAGATTGGTGTGGATGTGTATGATAATCGTTTTTGTGTGTTGAGTGTGTGTGTGTGTGTGTGTGATAAAAGTGTGTGATGCGTGTTTGTGTGAGATGAGTGTGTGTGAATGTGTGTGTGCTCTCTGTGTGAGAGTTAATGTGTCAGTGTTTGTGAGTAAGTATGTGTGTGATGTGTGTGTGTGTGTGTGTGGGTGTGTTTCTCACCCTGGAAGCTAGTAGCATTGTTCTGCTGGCAGATGACCTGGTTCTGGATGAATCGTGAGGGTGTGGCGGTGGGTGTGATCATGACGGTCTGCGGCTGCGCCTGCGTCTGCACAGCCAGAGTCTGCATGGGGAACGTCTGAGTCTGCACCTGCCCAGGTAAACACACAACACCCGAGTCACACACTCACACAAGATCGGCATCTGGGAGAGACTAATACTGCTGCAGGGGGTGTGGTCACAGCATGAGGGGTGTGGTCATAAGTGAAAGGTCATTTGTAAGAGCTGTGTTCATGTGAGTGGGTGTGGTCTAGTATGAGGAGGTGTGGTCAAGAATGAGCAGGTGTGGTCATTTGTGGGAGATACGTTTATGGGAAGGGGTGTGGTCATGTATGAATGGGTGTGGTCAAGAATGAGCAGGTATGGTCATTTGTGAGAGATGTGTTCATGTATGAGTGGGCGTGTTCATTTGTGAGGAGGTGTGGTCAAGAATAAGGGGGTGTGGTTATTTGTGATGTGTTTATGTGAGGGGCTGTGATCACGTATGAGTGGGTGTGGCCATTTGTGAGGGGGTGTTGCCAAACGGATATGGACATGTATAGGTATGTGTGGTTATTTGAAAGGGGGTGTGGTCATCTGAGGGTGTGTTTATGTAAAAGGGTGTGGTTATGTATGAGCGGGTGTGGTCATTGTGAGGTGTGAATATTTAAGCAGGTGTTATCACGTTGAGTGGGTGTGGTCGTCATTTGTGTGGCCAATAATGAGGAGATGTGTTCATGTGAAGGGTGTCATTAAGAATTAGTGGGTGTGGTCAATTGTGAGAGATGTGTTAATGTGAGTGGGTGTGGTCTTTTGTGAGGAGGTGTGGTCATGCAGTTGTGGTTATTTGTGAGATGTGTTCATGTGAAGGGGTGTGGTCATGTATGAGTGGGTGTGGTCATTTGTGTGGGGGTGTGGTTAAGAATGAGCAAGTGTGGTCATTTGTGAGATGTGTTCATGTGAAGGGGTGTGGTCATGTATGAGTGGGTGTGGTCGTTTGTCTGGGGGTGTGATTAAGAATGAGCAAGTGTGGTCATTTGTGTGAGGGTGTGGTTAAGAATGAGCAGGTGTGGTCATTTGTGAGATGTGTTCATGTGAAGGGGTGTGGTTATTTGTGTGGGGGTGTGGTTAAGAAAGAGTAGGTGTGGTCATTTGTGTGGGGGTGTGGTTAAGAATGAGCAGGTGTGGTCATTTGTGAGATGTGTTCATGTGAAGGGGTGTGGTCATGTATGAGTGGGTATGGTCATTTGTGTGGGGGTGTGGTTAAGAATGAGCAGGTGTGGTCATTTGTGAGATGTGTTCATGTGAAGGGGTGTGGTCATGTATGAGTGGGTGTGGTCATTTGTGTGGGGGTGTGGTTAAGAATGAGCAGGTGTGGTCATTTGTGAGATGTGTTCATGTGAAGGGGTGTGGTCATGTATGAGTGGGCGTGGTCATGCATGACTGGGTGTGGTCATGTGTAATGGTGCATCTGTTTAAGGAGTGTTGTCACTTTTGAGTGGGTGTGGTCACATAAGGGCATTAAAATAATTGAGTGTGGTCATACGAGTGGGTGTGGTCAGACTCACCTGTGTGATTGGTTGTGGTCGTGGCTGCAGCACCGGCGGTGTGCGTGTCTGCGTGTGTGTCTGCGTGTGTGCTTGTGTGAGTGTCTGTGTGTGTGTCTGGCTGCTGGTCTGCACAGGCGTGTGTGGTGGGGTCAGGATCGCGCTGGGCACCGCCTGTGGGAGGGTCCTCGCTGTGGCTCCGCCCCCCATCTGATCCTCGAATATATCAGGGAAATCCACCTGATTACTGACGAACTGCAGCATCTCTGATGGACACACAGATCAGACACAACACTGACATCAACACAGATTTCACAGCTCAAGGTCTTCATATCTGGGTGGATCATAAATGAAGATAAGAGATGTGGGTGAAGGACGAGACGTCTCACAGCGGCTGCCGCTAAATAAACAGTGGATGGTGACCCTGACCTGTGATAGAGCTGAAGGTCAGGCTGATAGAACAGGCACTGAACCAGCCAGACCAAAGCAACCTGCAGCTCCAGAGCTACCTCAGATTACTCACGGTTGAACACAACTCTATAACAGATTAATAAAAATACAGTTTTCATTTGCACTAGTTTAACCTACTTTAAATGTTTTAACTGATGCAACTAGTAGACTCTCTGAAGCTTCACATGCATGACACTTACAGGGTGTAAATGTGGGTGATGATCAATGCACAATGCACTGACCGGACAGATCTCTGACTTCTGAAAACAGATCATTTGCATTAGACTGCATGAGTGTGTCTCAGTTAAATGGGTGTGTTTCTGATGTTCAAATCCTATGCAAACATAACTAGGTCACATTCACTAGAGTGTCAAATACATTGCATTTTATTAAATGAATATTATTATTTACAAATGTGTAAGCTAGGGCTGGGCGATATGGCAAAAAAAATGATCATGATATTTTTTAATATCAGTCAATATCTATCATCATCACAATCAATGTCAAATCTAACAAACAGCAGCAAAACACACACAATAATATCACACTCTTTATAACACACACACACACACACACACACAAGGTGAAATAAGGTTAGTGAGAAATTAATAAGGTTGTGCAATTCCCATCATGTACACTCCCCAAAACCAGAAGAAAATAACCATGATGTTCTCACAAATGCACTATTATTATTATTTGTTCTGTTGGTGAACATGTTTACACTCATTCCCTCACTCTCCTTCAGTTATTCCCATCAACATGTACAGCTAAATAGAGAAGTAAACGTCGCTAAATTAATTAAATATATATTCTGGAGCTGGAGTTCCTTATGCAGAATTTACATCACTTTACCAGTAATATACTGTACATCCACACACATATTTAACAGGCTCTTCAGAACATGGAGACTAATAAGACTGAGTGTCTCTATGAATAAAGCTATGTGCGAGATCAGATGTGTTCAGGGTGATGTTGGAGAATGAGATCATGACTCTGTGCTGCTTTTAGTGCTTGAACACTTCACTACATTCATGGAAGAACAGAACTAAACACAAATATATCACACTAGTGAGATACTAACTTGTTCTGTTAAGGAATGTGTCGATGTATTGGGGTAAATTTTAGACAGAATGAGTTGCAGGAATAATCAGAGGGCTGGAGGATCAATTCCTCGTGTGTGTCAATATAAATATGTGCAGACAACAACAACCAAAATAACAACAACACTGGAAAAAAACAACAATACACAATTTTAAAACACTGCCAAACCAACAAAACTACCAATTTGAAAAAAACACTACCACTACTACACAACTAAATGACAACAACAGCATAAAACACAAACAAGAACAATGTCAATTAAACACACCCGAGAAACAATTACAGCACCACCAAAACCAACACACACAAAAAAAAGCAACAATACAAGCAATGTTAACAACAACAACAACTCCAATGAAAACACATTACCAAAATAAGTATTGTCTTGGTATTGGTGGTGTTTTTGTTGGTTGTGTTTTTGTTAATTGTCTCTTTTGTTGTTGTTAATATTTATGTTTGTGTTGTTGATTTGTCTTACACTGTTATTGGTGTTGTTGTCATTAACATTAACAACAAAAACATCAATAATAAAAACACTACCACCAAAAACAACATCAATACCAATACAAAAACACTGCCAAAGCCACACAACAAACATCAATGTTAACAACAACAACAACAAGACGATTAATAAACAAACATACTACCAAAACAATATTAAAGACAATGCCAATAACAGCAAAAAACAAAGCAACAACACAAACAAAATGACAACAATGTTTAAGACAACACCAATAACAGCTTAAAACAGTCAAAGCATCAACACAAACATCAATGTTAACAACAAAAATGCCCGTAAGAATCACACTGCCAAAATACGTCAACAAAAACAATAACAGTGTAAAACAGTCAAAACAACAACACAAACAACAAAGTTAATAAAAAACAATTACATCACCAGCTAAAACAACATCAATACCAACACAAAAACACAAAGCAACAACAAAAATGCCAATAATAAAAGACACAACCACCAAAACGCCAAAACTAACACAAAATCACTGCCAAAGCAACAGCACAAACAACGTTTACAACAAAAACTGCAATATGAAACAACACGCAAAAAAAAAACAATGACAACACCACCAACAACAGCGAAAAACAAACAAACAACAACAATGTTAATGACAACACTAATAACGGCATAAAAACAGTCAAAGCAACAACACAAACATCAATATTAACAACAAAAATGGCAACGAGAAAAACAACACCAACACCAAGACAAACACTGACAAAGCAACAAACATCAATGTTAACAATAACAAAAATGCAAAAAAACAACAACAAGCTACTAAAATCACAACAACACCACTAAAACAAAAACACCTATAAGAAACACACAAAAACAACAATGTAAATTACAACAACACCAATAGCAGTATAAACCAGTCAAAGCAACAGCACAAACAACAATGTCAGTTAACTCAAAACCAAACACATCTCCACTAAAAACAACACTAATAGCAACACAGAAACACTGGCAAAGCAACAACACAAACAAAACAACAACATTAATGACAACACCAATAACAGCATAAAAACAGTCAAAGCCACAACACAAACATCAATATTAACAACAAAAATGGCTATAAGAATAACACAACCTCAAAATAACACCAACAATAAGACAAACACTGCCAAAGCAACAGCACAAACATCAATGTTAACAACAAAAATGCAAAAAACACAACAAAAATCACAGCAACAGTAATGACTAAAAACATAACAATAACACTAAGAAACACACAGAAAACAACAGCAAAGTAAATGACAACACTAATAGCAGTATCAACCAGTCAATGCAACAAACAATGTTAGTTAACTCAAAACCAAACACAACACCACTAAAAACAACACCAATAGCAATACAAAAACACTGGCAAAGCAGCAACACAAGCAATGTTGCCAATAAGACAACACGCTACAGAACAACAACATTAATGACAACAACACTGCATAGCAAACAATTACACAACCAAAACAGCACAAAAAAGCATCAACCAATAACACCTGAAAAACAATAAAAACACAGAAAACAACACTGATAACAAAGCCAAACTAACAACAACACTAATTATTACAACAACAACAACAACAACAGCACTAAAAAAAACTGCCAAAACAACAACCAAGCAACACCACCACCAAAACTTGAACACAAAAACAACACAGGCACCAATATCATTGACAATAAAAACAGCATCACAAATAACAACATTAACGACAACAATACCAATAACAGTACAAAAAATGTTGTCAAAACAACAAACACACCAATGTTAAACAACAATCACAATACAACATCACAAAAACAATAACACAAACAACAATGTAAATGACAACATGAGCACCCGTAAACAACATAAATAATACCACCAGTCTACACTGACAACAACATCAAAAACAATACCACCACCCAAAACCACACCACAGAAATGACAACAAAAACAACACTAACAGCTACAAAATACCACAACTCAAAAAACACCACCACCAACACAAACAATGAAGTCAAACACAAAAATAAATAAAAACCCCACACAACACCACTAAAACAACTACACCCATAACAACAACACCAAAACAAGAACACAAAAAATGTAAATGTTGACATGAGCACCCAAAAACAACACACATAATACCATCAAACTACACTGACAACAACATCAAAAACAATACCACCACCAAAAACAACAACACAGAAATGACAACAACACTGACAGCAACAAAAACAACAACAAAAACACCACCACCAACACAAACAATAAAGTCAATAACACCAAAATAAATCAAACTCCCAAACAACACCATCAATGTCAACACCACCAAAACTACACCCTTAACAACAACAAAATGACCACCAAAACAATAACAGCAAACCGAAACCACACACACAAACACCACCAAAACAATTACAGCATCAAAAAATAAAAATGACAATGCCAAAGACAGCTACACAACTACACCATCAAAACTACAACACCCAACACAAAAACTGTAACAAACAATACTAACAATAACACAACAAACAGCGTTAAGGACAACAACAGCACCACAATAACAAAAGCACCAAAATAACAAACCCCATATCAAAGGCATAAACAACCATATAAACAACAGCGCCGTTAACAACCACACTCAAAACAACAACATTAACCACAACTACAACAAATATACAAACAACACCAACAGCAATGCCAAAAACAACCACACACATTACAACAACAACAACTGTTAAACTGAACACAGCTCATAAACACTGACGTCACACTGGGCTGAAGCTGGCTTCATATTCGCACACTCAATAATAATATGATTTCAGAAAAGTACGTTCATTTTAAATAGTGAAATCATATTATCAGCCAATGACTGTCAATGTACAGCACTGTTCACAGTCAGATAATGTTGTTGTGATGGCATAATTACATGCGATCACAGACACAATATTCACAGCAGAGTGGTAAACAATATGGGGAGCGCTACAATGAAGGAGTGTGCGAATGGATAACCTCAATTAACGTCAACACCCATACTAAAAACACACAAAATAAATGAGCAATCGCTACACAACCACCGACTACACTGCTCACAACAGCAGAACATGTGCAACCTCCATTACTTCAGGAGTCTCACACACACTATGATGAATAGTGATGAACTGACCCACATTAGAAGAGGGACATCAACACACACACACACACACACACACACACACACACACACACACACACACACACACACACACACACACACACACACACACACACACACGGGCTGGCTGATATGACAAAAATCTCACACCACAATATAAGCATCTTATTTGCTGATATTTACAATATATTGCAAAATATACAACCATTTCTGCTAATTCAATTGATTAGTTCTGTGTGTGTGTGTACATATATATATATATATATATATGTGTGTGTGTGTGTATATATATATATGTGTGTGTGTGTGTGTGTGTGTGTGTGTGTGTGTATATATATATATAGACTACACATAAAGACTATTTCTGAAAAATGTGCTCATTCATGTCTAATCTTATTTCTCCATTTATTCAAAACTTCATGGCAAGAGTTTGATTTAAACTGTCAATATTATTAAATGTAAAACACTTTTCAATAACAGGTGCAACATAAAAACAAAGAATATGACAAAAAAGCTAAATGTAAACGTTGTACTTTATTCACGTCTCTGTCTGAGCGCCTGTAATGTGTAATATTGCGCTCATATATGAGAGAGAAGTATTTTGTGGCACCGCAACATAGTCAAATATTGAATGATGCTTTTTAGGTCCCCACTGAGATATAAAAACAAGTACAGTCAACGCAAACACTGTGACAAAACAACCACACACACACTATAAAATAAATAAACAGAAGACACACACTTTGACTCACATATACAGAAGACATACACACACATGTACAAGACAAACACACAACTGACATACATAAAACAAACACACACATACAGACAAAATAAACACGCACTCTGACACACACACACACACAAACAAGACAAACACACACTCTGACACAAACACACACACATTAAACAATACAAACACACACTCTGACACACACATATACACAAGACAACACACACACACTCTGATACACACATACACAAGACGAACACACTCTGACACATATACACACATATAAACAAGACAAACACACACTCTGACACATACACAACACAAAAACACAACTGACATACATATACATAATACAAACACACATACTGACAAAACAAACAAACACACACTCTGACACACACACAACACAAACACACACACTGACATACATATACACAAACACACACATACACACAAGCACTGACATATAAACAAACAAACAAACAAACAAACAAACACACACACACACACACACACACATACACACACACACACACACACACACACACACACACACACACACACACACACACACACACACACTCTATGACTGTTATCCCCCTCATCATCATCATATATGATCATTCATTACGGTTGCTATTACCGTCGATGTCTCCGAGGGTGAACTCGTCGCCCAGTTCGGACAGACTCGGGTCCATGGTCTCCATAAACTCCGAGGCGTCCATGTTTCTCCACCTTCTCTCTCTCTCCGTAGTCTGTCTGTGTCTCCGCGTCTCCTCGTTCACTCACAGCATCTGTTTGCTGTCCGTGAGGGGAACGTTCACTCGGTTCCGGTGTCGATCGAGCGTTTACCGACCGAAAGCCGCCATCTTGGCTCCAGCAGTGACGTCATTCACAAACAGCGCAGCTCGACGTCGCGCTCCTCTGATTGGCTGGCTCTCTCGTAAGATCGGACGCGCTCGGCCAATCTGATCGCCCGCTCGAGCGTGGCCTGATAGTACGTCGATGAGCAGAGGCGATTTGCTCATTTACATTAGCCCCGCCCACGCCATTCAGGAGTGCACGCAGAGTTGTTGAATATTTAATGAGCGGCCAGCGGGTTGGTGAGAGGACAGTTAATATGTAAATAATGCGGGAAAGGCTCTTTGTTTTTGTGGTTACATCATCATGTTGAAGTTACATCATCGCCACATTTAACTAATCTTTAAATAATATCAAACTACTATGTTTAATATCTATTTACAGTAGTCATAAAGTCTGTAACTTCATTATTGTTTCTTATCTCATGATAGACGTTTAGTCTTAAACTCAATGTCATCCTGATAACGGGAAGTCTCCTGGAGGTTAATATACTGCACACATATGAGCCCATAATCTAGTTGACATTACGCTTTAGGATTCGTTAACATAATATGAGAGAAGGTTATAACATCCTTTATCCGAGTTAAACAACTGATCATAAAACTAGCTGAAGTTCAGAACATGCAAAGTAAACAATAAAAGCCTATCCACAGACATGAAAGATCATCATTTATCATTTTATTCATAAGAAAAGTTCACTATAAATCTCATTATTATTCTGAATTAAACAATAATCCAGTTTATTTAATGAAATGAAGGTGGAATTTAAAAATAAACGAACAAATAAATCAAAACAGGGATCTCAGAAGAGGTGTTTATTTTAGATCGCTGGCACGTTCAGCATGTTCGCTTAAACACATCTGAACACGTGTGAACCCCCCCAAACCTGCTGAGCTCCAACACTGCAGGTCATCCACAGTAATATTCAGCAGTTCACCTTCAGTCTTTGTTCATTACAGCTGTCCACAAATGAGCTGCTGATTAAACAGCCTTATATTAGTAGATAAAAACACTTCATTTACCCTCTATGTAGAAACACACATGTATAAATGAGAAATAAAGCACTGCTGCAGCTCCGTCTGAGAGATTCTGCTGGGTTTAGAGACGCTCCTCATTCCTGGCGTCGCAGGCTTAGAGGCCAATAAGTGCAAACAGCTGGAGAGCGTCCATAATCAATAACACTGCACTCCATTAACAGCACACTGTTCATTTGTTCCAGTAGATCTCGTAGGAGTTTCGCTCTGTGTAACTGTTCTCTGCAACTCCGCTTCCAGAACGAACTTTCTCCTTCACCACTTTAATAACCATCCCTCCGGCCAGCGCGATTCCTGCTGCCGCTCTGCCGATCTCACTCAGAATGCGCGCAGTTGTTCCAATGCCGTCCAGAACAGCTGAAGAGGTGACAACACTGCCCCCGGTGGCCACTACACTAGGTGCGACCGTTGCAACACTGCCCCCGGTGGTCACTGCACTAGGTGCGACCGCTGCAACACTGCCCCCGGTGGCCACTGCACTAGGTGTGACCGCTGCAACGCTGGCCCCACTAAGAGCACTTACTGCTGCGCTGTCTAGCAAAGCCCCCATCACTGCTCCTGCTCCGATGGCACCACCCACTCCTGTAGCCACGCCCACCGTTGCAGCACCAATCACTCCCACCTGCTGCGCAGCCTCTACTGCAGCGTCCCGCGGCCCCACAGCCTCAGCACCTGCCAGCGCCCCCACTGACCCTCCTAATACCCCACCTGCTGTCGCACCCAGAGCCACTGCGGTCTTCCCGGACGCAGCTGCAACTATTGCACCGAATGCTTTGCCTACGCCTGCGCCGCCAGCGGAGACTCCTGCTAACCCCACTGATCCTCCACCAATCACAGAAGCCCCTGCTGCCACCGCCAGAGGAGCTGCAGCTCCGAATACGGCCCCGACCGCCATTCCTGCAGCACCGGCTGCGACCAGCACCTTGACGCGCTGCAGAACCTTCCCAGAGAGTGCGGCTTCCATGCGGATGCGGCTCAGAGCGGAGCGCAGTGCCTGCCGTCTGCTGACCGCCATTCCGGCTCCCCTGCGGCTGCGCCACCGCTGCATGCGCCGTTGCTGCTCGTCCCGGACGGCGTGCTCGGCCTGCAGGAACACACTGTTGGTGTAACACAGTCCTCCTGCGTCTGCCACCATCGCCTGCACCCTCTGCAGCAGCGTGCTTACCTGCGCACACACATAGAGGGATATTCAATAACTCACTATACATGAACATGCACAATACTGATATCATCAGCACTTCCAAATATTGTGAATAATAGTTCATTAGAGAGTTTCCCCTACCATTATATAAGGGGAGCCTACAGCTGTACCCGCCCCCTTGAAGTCACGTTAATTGTATTATCTATATAGTGCCAGATCACAACTGTTTTAATAAACAAGCTAAATAGCCGAATGTAATATCTTATTTACACAGCTGGATGTCATTTCTATTCTGCGCTCGCGTCACAGCAGCTAAAATATATACAGATGTGGACATCCCAAGTCTCTCGTAAATTTAGCCAAACGAATGATAATCTCCTGGAAATCGCGCGTCTCCCACTCAGTCCTCAAATACGTCCCGCATCCATCCCCACTCTTCAGATACGTCGCGCACATCCCATGCTGTGGCGCGAGCGGAGCTATTTCCTCGATTTAGTGTCTAGTTTTGACCTCTCCCGAAAGCTCTGCGTGTCTTCCCCAAATTCATATCGGCTCCGTGATCTCCCAAAATGAATTAAAATACGCGGAAATTATGACGACGAGAGTGAACGAGCAAGAGAACAGATCGCAAGAGGCACAGTGATGGTCTCAACATTAAATTTGATAGGTTGAATGAATAGAGCATTAAAGAAATCGTGAGTACAATTTACCCCCCCCCCCCCCCCCCCCCCGCAGTCTTTTAATCGTGATTAACCCCCCCAAAAGCAACGCAAGCCTCAGTTAGAGCTACAGATTCTAGGGCTGCAACAAGGAATCGATTAAATTGATAACAATTGATTACTAAAAGCGTTGGCAATGGATTTGATAATCGATTCGTTGTGTCACGCGACACAGAGACGGTTGATTATTAAAAAACACTTTAGTTCAGCGCAGAGCAGAGTGAACACGGTCTCTCTCCGTCTCTCGCACACTGATACAGAATTCGGCGCTTATAGACAGGGATGAGGAGGAAGGGAGTTCAACAGCAGGGTCCTACTTTTGTTCCGTTTTGAAGTGACAAGCATGACAAGTTAGCGTTAGCTGAGGCGCTGAGGCAGAGAGAGCTCGCGCTGAACACAGCTCTCAGTAAAGCCTGGTTTATACTTCTGCGTCAAGTGACCGGCGTGACCCACGGCGCAGACAACGCGAGTGGCTGTGCATTTATACTTCTGCTGCTGTCTCTGTTGGTCTGCATTAAACCTTCTGAAGTGCTAGTTGGCAGTGAGGTGTAAATGTTCCTCTGTGTCGAGTTTCTTCTCTGCTGTTTTGCTTTTCCTGAACACTTCCGGGATGTACAAGTGGCTCAAACTTGCTCATTTTGAGGCAGGAACCGGCGGACGTGCAACAACTTTAACTATGAGGTAAACACAAAACAAAACTTTCCATCCGGAGCTCCTCCTTCACCATTCGCGCGGCTCTCGGTCCCGCCCAGACTCGTCAGCGCTACCAAGCTGACCAATCACAGAGCTTGCGCTACGCGTCGTTGCGACATGTAGTTACAATTTTTGAGAGGTGCACGTCAGTGACGCCGACGACCACGGCGAAGGGCTATGCGTCAGCGCCGTAGCATACGCTGGCGTTTGACGCAGAAGTATAAATCAGCCTTAAGGGACCGTTGGAAAAGTGCTGCTTATTTTCGTTTTTTTTTTTTCGAAAACAAAACCAACTTAACTCCGCTGAGAAAGACGTGTAATATTACCACAATTATGCAGCGTTTGAACCGCCTAATGCTTATTTTATGTTTTAGACACGTAAACACACACACACGTACTAGTAAAACAACACATTTAGAGTTTGTTAAGCACACAAGGAAGTCTAACAATCCCCTCAAATATAATCTGCCGATGTGTTTTATTGATATCAGATACACATTACACACAGTGAAAGCTGAATCTGCTCTTCTCTAAGTTCACCACACACTTGCTTGCATGTGTTTGGGGAGTAACTGGTGAATTTACCTGCTGAATCCTGCGTGTTCTGCTTTTATGAATGAGGCAAACGTGTGGCCGCAAGAAAACATGACGCCGACCATCTCACATTATAGATCACGATCAGATTAAGACTATTTTTAACTTGTTTTAAGCAAACAATCACTATTTTGAGGTGCTTTTTTTCAGAAAACAAGACATCATTTCTTATGCTATTTGATGTGTCCAGGATGTGTCTTGATTTGAAAACATTTAGATATTTGGATTGAAAACAGGACAAAACTACTTAATTTTTAAAAATATTATTATAATTATTATATTTATTATTATAACAGCTCAGAGATTCGTTTTTTTGAACAAACAGTTGGAAATGAATGCCTTATTTTAACTGATTCATCAATTAATCAGAAAAAATAATGGACAGATTAATCGATTATTAAAATAATTGTTAGTTGCAGCCTATCGCCTGATGATCCCGCATGCAATATTTAGAGTAGTTTGTCGGTGAACGGCGTCTGTGTGTGGGAAACGCTGCTGAACATGTGCTGGAGATTGACAGCTCATCACAGAGGTGCTTTATAGAGTAATGAACACGATAACCACGTCTAATAAACAGCTCTAATAGCAGCGTAGCTCAACATCGTGATCATACGGTATATCGTTGTGAAAACTATTAATGGCAGCTGGTAATGCTGTAATACCTGCGCGCGGTCCTGCGGCGCTCTGTTGTTGATGATGCAGTAGCGCCCCCCGCAGCGGTGCAGCAGCAGCTTCAGGCGTGAGGAATCGTCCTCCAGGAAACTCTCGAACCCGCCGGCGTCCTCCAGCGCGTCTCCGTGTGTGAACAGCACCAGCGTGTGGCGTAGCGCCTCCTGGCCGAACACACTGCACATCTGCACCACCGCTCGCTCTTCATCTGCAGTGTAGCGGCCCAGCGGAATCACCAGCAGGAACGCGTGCGGCCCTGGCGCCGTTAGCGAAACGCATTTAGCGATCTCAGCGTGGAGGCTGTCGGCGTCCAGACGGGTGTCCCCGAACCCGGGCATGTCCACCACCAGAATCCTCCTCCTCACCCCGCCGAACTCCTCATCCTCACACACCTCCGCACACTCACACACACGCGTTACTGACCCCGCCCTCAGCGCAGACAGGAAGTGGCGTCGCCCTAATATGGTGTTTCCTGTGGCGCTTTTTCCCGAGCCTGTGCGTCCAATCAGGACGAGTCTCAGCTCAGATCCGCCTCTGTCCTCCTCTTCAGATACGAACAGCTCCTCCCCACTGGACTGATCTAGAAGCAGAGTGTTTACATTAATTACTCAGCACAATTTACTTTATTAATGTCAGATACCTGCGTCTTATGAACAGTAATAGAAACAGAACGTCTGTTAAAATGGAGAAAATACAATAATCATTATATACACACACTCACCGGCCACTTTATTAGGTACACCTGTCCAACTACACAGTTTTCTTATCAGCCAATCACATGGCAGCAAGCATTTAGGCATAAAGACATGGGGCTACAGCAGCAGAAGAGCACACCGGGTGCCGCTCCTGTCAGCTAAGAACAGGAAACTGAGGCTACAATTCACACAGACTCACCAAAACTGGACAATAGAAGATTGGAGAAACGTTGCTGCTCTGATGAGTCTCCATTTCTGCTCACACATTCAGATGCTCGACTCAGACAACATGAAAGCATGGATCATCCTGCCTTGTATCAGCGGTTCAGGCTGGTGGTGGTGGTGTAATGGTGTGGGGGAGATTTTCTTTGGGTCCATTAGTACCAATTGAGCATCAACACCACAGCCTACCTGAGTATTGCTGCTGACCATGTCCATCCCTTTATGAGCACAGTGTCTCCATCTTCTGATGGCTACTTCCAGCAGGATAACGCAGCATGTCATAAAGCTCAATCATCTCAGACTGCTTTCTTGAACATGACGATGAGTTCACTGTACTCAAATGGCCTCCACAGTCACCAGAGCTCAATCCAATAGAGCAGCTTTGGGATGTGGTGGAACGGGAGATTGGCATCATGGATGTGCAGCCGACAAATCTGCAGCAACTGTGTGATGCTATCATGACAATATGGAGCAAAACCTCTGAGGAATATTTCCAGCAGCTTGATGAATCTCTGACATCAAGAATTAAAGCAGATCTGAAGGTGAAAGAGGTCCGACCCGGTACTAGTGAGGTGTACCTAATAAAGTGGCCGCTGAGTGTGTGTGTATACAAATATATAATAGACTAAAACCTTCCAACTTCTTGGTTCTCTGAGGATCCGTGTGTCATTAAATCACCATTTATTAATTTATTTCAACTTCTATTCATAATATTTTAATCCTAAAAATGCAATAATTTGAGGGATTTGAACCCTTTAAATTGCAGTTTGTGTACATGATGTCAGAAAAACACTCAAATGAATTGTTTTCCATGTTTTTTGGATTATTACAGTCTTGGATCAGCCATTCAATGATAGGAAACATCATATGTGTCGTATTACGTGTCGTTTCTCCATCACTCACACATACCTTCATATTTTTCATTATATTGATTTAGAAATGACTCTCCACATCAATACACCCACACATTAATTATTAGACTTTTGCTTCATTTCGCCTGCAGCAGAAGGGAGGGTTTGCTTTTAATATCAGTCATATAAATCTGAAGCATCGCCAAGAATAAAGCCTATTAACAGTGATTTATGACTTCTTCTTAAATGACACTGGAATGAAAGATTGTGTTCAATTTTGTCCTGAAGGGATTGGGTACATTTGAATACTTTTAAAGGGTGAAATAATCAAACGGCAGTAAAAATATACATATTATACAAATTCATGCTACTCTCATTATCATTTAAAACATAATGTCACAATTTAATATATTATGGGTTTCTGCATTATAAAATGTAGCTTACTGTATACATTACAAGCCATTTTAAAACACTTTACCATAGAAATATAACTCTATTATCTTGTTGACAAGGATTATTAAATCTTTATTTAATATTAATATAAAAACAAACGACACCTTTATAATCTTTAACCGCTGATACCACAACAATAACAATATAAAAATATTGCTGAAATTTCTGCAAAACTATTAATAAGTAAAAAACAGATTAATAACATTGCCAAATATCTGTCTGGTCTTTTATAAACAATAAAGAAGAATTTAAAATATTCATTCATTTTCCTTCAGCTTAGTCCCTTTATTCATCAGGGGTCACCACAGCGGAATGAACCGACAACTATTCCAGCATATGTTTTCCACAGTGGATGCCCTTCCAGCTGCAACCCAGTTCGGGGAAACACCAATACACACACATTCACACACACACACTCATACACTAGTGCCAGTGTAGTTGATCAGTTCCCCTATAGCGCATGTGTTTGGACTGTGGGGGAAACCGGAGCACCCGGAGGAAACCCACGCCAACACGGGGAGAACATGCAAACTCCACACAGAAATGCCAACTGACCCAGCTGGAACTCAAACCAGCAACCTTCTTGCTGTGAGGCCACAGTGCTGACCCCTGAGCCACCCTCAACAAGGAATATTAAATGTTTAAATTTTAGCTGCACGTTCATAATCTTTAACTAGCGCTAATACAAAACAAACAAACTAATAAAAAATAAATAGTAAAATACTGCAGATATTTTTGCAATGTTATTAAGATGTAAAAAAACAGATTAATATCATTGCAAACATATCAGTCATCTTTTACAAGCAATACAGAAGAATTTCAACACAACATGTGATAAATTATGAACTTTCACATGACGATAATAATAATCAGGGTGTGAATTACAGCGGGGTTTAGGGGGATTGACTCCCCTAATTAATGCTTAATCCCCACTGAAGGACATATAAAACAAGAGGTATGGGGGTCAGCCCTTTAATACTGAGAAATAGTTAGCTCTGATCTGTTTTTAAATAATAATATTAATAATTAAATACACATTTGATCACCACCTCTGTAAAGTAGCACCCCATAAAAACAAATAATCCACAAAACTATGCCCTTCATTTGTGCTGATTTGTGCCGCAGAAATGAACGTTTGTGCTGGTTTGGGCTCTGAGATATTAAGCATTATTTTTTTTGACCGTGTGACGTCACTTTCCACCCCATGTTGATCAAACAACTTAAAATCTGTACAGGTCATTTGTGCTGGATTTGTGCTGGTTTGTGCCGGTAAATAAACACTTGATCTGTTTTCCTCGTTTAGATATAAGCTAAATATTTAGCTCAAATTGCTCTAAATCACAAAAAACAGATGTCATTTGTTTGTGCCTGATTTGTGCTGGTTTGTGCCATTTAAATAAACACTTTATTTATTTTTATTGTTTAGATATTGCCTAATCAAGACACTTCGGGAGCCGTGACGTCACTCTCCACCCCATTATTTCCTCTAAATCGCACAAAACTGGTGTCATTGGTTTGTGCCGTTAAATAAACGCTTGATCTGCTTTCGTTGTTTATACATAACCAGAATATTTGATTAGATTAGTGCTGGTTTGTGCCGTCATCAGATATTTATATTCGTGCACGAATATATTATTTTCGTTTGCTCACAATTTGTGTAAAATAAAATAATATTAGATCATTAGAGGTCTCTCGACCCCAGCTGCTCCATATTTACCAAGATAGTCTCGCTTGTGTGTGCTGGATTGTACCTATGAACGTTTCGCTAGTGCTGCTGCTATTATTAATATACTAAATATTGAAATAAAGATAATGACATCACCAGCCACCCCACATGCATGATATTCTAAAATATTTTAATTTGTTTGTGCTGATAGAATTTGTTTGTGATGCTTCATTTTTAGATATTAAAATAGCCTAGGCCAATTTAGGTTAGTCTGAGGTCTTTTTTATCAGAAGAAGCATGAAGCCCGATCATCATTTTGACAGATTCTGGTGAGGGTGATCGTGCCCAAGTGGTTATACAGTAGCTAATAGGCTATTGAATAGCCTACAAACACCATCTGAGTGAGTGTTATGAGCATATTAAACGGCAATATTAACCAACAGAGGCATTTCGCACCTGCAGTAGCCTCTCTGTGAAAATACAGTGAAAAGAATACAATAACAGCACTTCATTACATTCAGCACAAACACATGGCAGAGTTTTGGGGATTGTTTGTTTGTATAGGGTGTCAACTTCACAGAGGTTAAATCACCCCTAATATAATATGAATTCAACAGTCTGAAACTGCATAGACATCATAAGAGTTCAGAGCATCTCATAATATAGGAGTTTGATTCTACAAACAGCCTAAAAGTGAAGTCAAATTAGATGCATAGTTAGCATAATCTGACCTAAAGTAACTTGTGAATGAGCTAATCAGAGGATAGTGTAGGGCAGAATGCACTAAATATCCCTCACAACACTCAAAACAAATATGCTTAATACGCTTTTATTAATTCATTAGATGTAATTAAAGAAAATAGAGAAATGTGATTGACTGAAGCATGGTGTTTGCAACCTCTCTGGTCGTCAATGTATAACTCTTATCCTGATAATATTTCTATATCTGCTCTTCTTTCTGTTCTGTACTGTAGGGCTGTGTGTCTCCTGACTTAAAGGACACGAACAGCTACAATTTCCCTCAGTTAAAGTGCTGTAACCTTTATGTACTGTAAGCTTTATATTTAATAAACAGCTGGACACAAATGTACAATGGAAATACAACATATAGAAGTGTAAATATGACTGCAGCTTAAATAAAGACGCTAACATTACTAATGAAGGGAAACTTCTGCCAGATCTGTCATGATGAGGAGGAGGAGGAGGAGGCCCTCGTGTGGCGGAATGTGAACTAAATTATTTAATAAACGTTTTTACTAGAAAACTCTCATTATCAAAGGCACTAAACGAGCAATATCACCATTAATGACACCTGTAAACACATAATAAATACATTATTGCTGAAATTAACCGATCTGACATTAAAAAACACGCTGATGAGACTAAATCTGCAATAGTGCTACTCATATAAAACGCTTCTAACATGATAGTGAGTTAAATATCTCTCTCAGACCTGGATTAGAGTGTCCAGCCATGATGAAGCTCGTCTTTTCTCTTTGTTTTGTTTCTCTTCTGCTGTTGTTCTGTAGTTCAGGCTCGCTCTGCGCAGACGCGGGAAATCTGACGTCATCAGTGAGATCACAGACTGGATATCAGCGCCTCCTGCCGGCCAACAGCACTCACCGCTGATCTGCAGGAGACTGTATATATATCAGCCTGCTGTCAGTGTGGCCTTTACAGACTTAAAAACTGCACTATAATTACTTCCATTAAAAGTTACGTAACGGATGACTTCAGTTTAGGCCATTTAATTGCAGATATATACAGTGCTCAGCGTAATTGAGTTCAGCTCATTCTGAAGATGAATATGTTCCTCCATTTCTCAGTGCATATAGGCCGGGTATTCTGGTGCATTTACACAAAACAGATTAAACAGATATTTTTGTCACCAAACATATTCAGAAATTAAAAGATAATACAATTAAATTCAAGCTAAATATTGCAAATAAATTACAAACTACAAAATTTCCCTAAAATTCTTCATGTTTTTGTATGGAACAAAATCAATGCCAAAAGTCTTGAATTAAAAAGCTTGTTGAATAGCACAAACTGAAAAAAATAATACACCGTATTAACAAGTTCTTGCATTTTAATGACTTGAATTCCAGGGTTTATATTTTTAGGTCCTGAAATGTAACATATCTGTTCATTTAAGCTGTGAATATTTCAACGAAAAATATTTCAAACACGTTTTCTTCCGAAGTTTCAGATGATATCTGGGCTTATGCATAATAATGTAAAGTGAAAGTGAAAGTCACGACATTTGGCCAAGCAGAAGAATAGCCTACAAGAGTGTTGCGATTATTATATTAATCATGACATATGTCATGCTTGGGCTTATATGAATAACACCTCGCTCTTTACCATTTCCAAAAGTGGAGCTGACGTCGGTGCAAAATTGCTTGTATGATTGTAAAAAGAGTGATGAATATTAATGGATTTCTTATATCTGTCATTTCTGATAATATAATTGATTTAACTAGTGTGAGCTTATGAGTTTCCAACACTCATTTAGCAAAAATGCATCCAGAATCCTAAACCAATAACTTTAAGCAAAAATTATGATTTTATAGACTACTGATTTTTTTAAAAACAAGAAAAAAGGAACTATTAGCTACCCTAGCAAATTATTTAAATATGATCATCTCAAAATATAAATAAAAACATAATGGTTTGACTTTGTGAAATCATAAAACACACTTGCAGAAAAGAGTTATTAGAATAAATGAGCAAATACATTCTCTCCAGTAGATGGCGATTACAGCTCAGTAGTAGAGTGGAGGAACTATGACGTCACTTTGTAGGCTAATCAGCTGCTAGCATAAAACTGGTTCCCTCGTGAAAATCCCTATAGGATTTTCCCATAGTTTTCGAAGATTGCTAATAATAAGCTCTGTGTTCAAACACTGTTCATTACACTTACACGTTTTGTCCAGCCGGATAATCCTCACACGAAAATACAACTTTGAGCACTTTTGGATCTTAAATGCAAACGCAAGACTTGAAAAGCTAACATTAGGCTATAAACGGACTACAGAGCCCTCGGGGCGCTCGTCTGTGACGTCAGCCCCACCCTGCTACAGAAGACTTATCAAGCTTATTTTTAGAAATAATGTCCATGACAAAGAGTTAATCTCTCTGTATATTATATTATAATCCACACTATATATTATAAACTAATAAATAAGCAAAAACACATAGACCTTTGTGCCTTTTGGATCGTTTTTACGTGGGAAATACATGTTTTGCGGTTGTTCTAAAAGTTTTAAGAATGTGTATGAATGTGCCTATATAGTATTATTATTAGACATATTTAAGTAAGTGTATCGCTCGCGCACACAGCCCGCTTACCTTAACAGATGACAGAAATGAGGCGTGAGGAGAAACAAGTCTATCAAATGCCTGCAAGTTCCATCATCATGGACACAGAGCAACATTCAATATTCCTTTATTGTCACGAAGTACAGCTAAAAGCAGCTCATACAGTCACATCTGCTGAACGTTTTATGGAGGAGTGTAAATACTGCAGTTAAATGTGTTCAGATGAAGAAAAAAAGACGAGAAATCACTTGATCACGTTAAAATGACAGTTAATATGTCTGTATTTTTACACATTTATTCACACGTTTGCATTACTGAGAGCAGGAGAGAGACAGGCTGCACTGGTGAGCAGTATCTTCATAATATAGTTTAATTAAAATAAATGATCAACAAATTAGTCTGTCTCGACAGCCTTTACATGTGAAGGAATTATCTACACACAATCTGAATTCTCAATTAGAAAAATACAACAAACTATAAAATACTCTTCATGAAAATACCTAAATCACAGATAAATCCAAACGCCCAACACAAGTGAGCTGCTCTCCAGACCAGATCAGCTCGATGATGTATAATGTCTCCGACACCGCCTGTAGTCTCATTTAGCAACTTGATAGCAACCGTCCTTTTAAAGAAGCATAATCGATTTAAAAGTTGAAGAGTGTGCTGTAACTGATGTGTTTTATGTCGTAGAACAAAACGTGAAAGTATCTTGAGTTGGTGTTCGCCACAGACCTTTTTTAAGCGATTTTACTGAAACCCCGTTCAAAAAAACCCATTGACTTTGGGACGAGGGAACCGGAAGTGCTAAAATGCTAACTCACTTCTGGGTTTTTGCTTACAAATTGACGTCAGAGTTCCTCCACTCTATAACCGCACAACTTGTGATGATGAACACTGAGCTGCTTTGAATCCCATAACCTTAGGCATGAAAGGAAATGAAACCGACACCAAAATGAATGAGCACACAATCTTGTGGTAACTGCATAACAGGGCAGTGGTTTATTTTTTGCAGTGTGAATTTTTTTGAATAAATGTTTTTTATTTTTGGAAATCTTTTATTTTTTAATTGCATTGTACCTAATTTTGTCTAAAACTTTGGATGTTTGTTTGAATAATAAAGACACAAAATGAACCCCGGCATTCATGGGTTCAGAACTTTTCAACTCACAAGCAAAACATTTCAACCTGCAAGCAACGATTCTAGATGTGCAATACATGACAGCAGAAAAGAGAGCAAAATTAACGAGTGTGCAATGAAAATTGTGGTAACTGCAAAATAGGACAATTGTTTATTTTTGCAATCCAAAATATTTTATTATTGACATGAGTTTTTAAATTAAACGTGTTTTTATTTGAAATCTTTTATTCTTTAATTACTACATACTTAATTTTTCTTTAAAACGAAATATTTTTGATTGAGTAATAAAGAAATCTAACTCCATATATTTTTAGTTATGATAAAAGATTTGTTCACCACATATTGTGTTAGCATGAAATAATAATAATAATTGTAAAAAAAAAGTCAACTCTGGAGGACAAAGTGATATAAAAGTAGAGGTTGGTTGAGTTTGTCCATACCTCAGTTAAATTTGGATTTACATGACCAGAGTGGCAGAACCCTGACACTTTTCAGCCCTGACCTGATAATAAGTTTCCTTGTGTGTTTGTCAGCGGTATGTGAACAGAAACACACACTCAGATATACATATATTCTTTTATTATCATATAAAAACAGCTCAGAAAAAGGACACACATCTTCCTGAAACTGTGGTGTGTTTCACTGAACATTCACTGGTTACTGATCTCTTACTCCACCACTCAGATCTGAACTCTCTCCATGCCAGGATTGTGTTCGCAGATGCACTTTTCCCAGCAGCAGTTCCACCCAGGAGAACAATCCGTCTTTCTGACACTGTGTGGGAAAATAAACACATCACACAATCATTTATTTTACTTTAACACCGTAAACACTGCATTAAAGCCTGTTCACACACTATAAAGTTAACAATAAAGAGACAGTTAAAGAAGAGGTAATGCTGTTAAAGAACAGCATTTTGCACGTTAGACAAGCTTAACGTGCGTTTCGCACAAATCGCTCGAGTTCGGACATTTGCGCGGCGTTAACCAATCAGGAGCTTCATTTAGCAATGAAGCTAGAGTTACCAGGCAGATTAGGATGACAGATAGGAACTAGATCTCCTTGAAATACGCGTTAAAGTTTATTATTAAGCCATCTGGAGTCATTTTTAGTCACACAATGTTCTTCTGTATCTGAAAAGTGCCAGAGCGGAAGTGACATCAGAAAGGGGAGATTGAGCAGACAAACAGTATGAAGAGAACAGATCGTGGTGCACTTTTGAACACCGAGATAAGATATTCTGAGATATTCACACAAACGACAGACCAGTCATATAATTATGATCCCGTGGACAGACCAGCAGGCAAAACAGCCCACATGGAAAGAACCTATATGAGGATATATGCGCACATATGAAACCTATATGCAGTATATATGCACATATATGTTAATATACCAAAACTGAGGTGCATATGTGCATATACAGGCCATATAGTATACTGTATTGCTTCTTTATATCCACATACAAGCCCTATGTACATACCAGATATGTCTCCTATATAGCTCATATATCTCACTTTCCATCACACATGATGCATATTTACTATTAGCAAGGTAATATCAATAAACTGCAAAACCTTATGTATGTGCGAACACTTGAAATTGGCATCACATGTAGCTGGCATGTTAAGGAATTCAACTATGGCAAATAAGTGAGAGGAGATGAAAAGCTATGATGTCTACACATTTTCCTGAATCAAGGTCAAATCTTTCTTCTCAGATAGTGGAAAAGAGGGAAATGTATAACACAATGGTTTGTCGTTTTTTTTTTTTTTTGTCGATCAAGCCTTTTTTTCATATTTTAAGTCACTTCCAGATTCATCCCACACGTAAAGAACCTATATAAACATACATGTACATAAAATATAGGAAAACAGCCAATTTTATACATGTCCCACATCTTCCAAACCTATATCAAAACATATTTTAAAACATATATGTTTATATAGGCTCTTTTCGTGTGGGAGCAGTCAGAGAAGAGTAATTGAGCTGTAACGTGAGGAGAACAGAGCAGGTTTACAGTGAGAGACCAGTGCTGGCTTACAGACAGATATGTAAGATAACAAAATCTTATCTGGCAAAGGTCAAGCTGGTATTGATCATCTGTAAGT